GGTCCGGAGCGGGGTCCGCAGCGGCTGGAGGGGCCGGCGGGCCCGGGGAACGCACACAGCGCAGTGCAGTGTGTAGCGAGATAAGCTGTACGTCGGTGAATAAACTTCAAAACACGGTCAGAGCCCCCCTTTGACAGGGCGGTGTTTGCTCTGCAGGTGCTTTTACCCTGGACCGACTGCTTTAGTCCTCAGCTTTACCATAAACTTTCCCGGTGCTGTTATTAAACAACTGCCTAATTGTCAACTTGGAATTTGTTTGTAAAACAGTGATAGTTAGAGTTATACTTACCGGCGGGCTGTGGGATTTCAGTGATGTTTGATGTCTCTGGAAAAAAAAATAAAAAATCTTGCTATTTTCCAGAATTCTTTACTTCACCTTCTCTGGAGGATGGGTGCTGGGAGGGTGAGAAGGTTTTTTGCCCTGGTGTGCATAGGCGTGAATTTAACTTCTGTTATTTCTGGCTTTTTGTTCGATTCTTTGTTATTGCTGTAGGAGCAAGTTGTTGGGTGGTTGGGTTTGGTTTTGAGAGTTTACCTTTTCAAATTGGTTGTAAAACTAGCTAGTTCTGTTGGAATAGAATAGCACTGTTGTCTGTGTTAAAGTGATATGTAGAAGCTTTAGAATAAGTGCAAACAGCTCATAGTATAATGACGTATAGAAGTAAGGCATGCTTTATGTGTGGTCTGAGGAGCTTTAGACAAGCAGTTCCTGTATTTACTGGGTTCTCAAGGAGGAAATATTTGAGATTAGGGTCCTTGCTTGCGGAAGTTCATCAAATAGTGTATAGGCCATTAAAAAGATGCTTGTTTAATATGGCAAGAACCAATGGGCTTTACTAGGCTTTCTATAACTTCTTAGTTGAAATAGTTCTGCTCATTCAACAGGTTTTTTAAACCATGTCTGCGTGTACGCACCCAGGTCAGAGGGTGACCTTTTCAGCCTGTGTATCTTTTAGAGTAAATCTTGGTGGCCTTATTTCATAATTCTCTCTCTTTTTTTTTTTTTTTTTTTTTTTCCCCTCCACTGGACAGGTTTGCTGTAAGTGTTGGCTACTGGAAGGACCCTTACATCCAGTATTTTGTGAGACAAGCCAAAGAGAGAAAAGCACCTGAAATCAATAGAGGTGAGTTGCCATGTGAACTTGAACGATGGCAGTGCGAATGTGGTCTTATCTGATCTTGAAGAGCACCTGGTAAAACCTATGTACTGGGTATTATGGAGTGTAGGAAATATGTAAAAGAATGAGAAAGTTTTTTTCACAGTAATAATTCCATACTGTAGTTGATCTTTTAAATTTTACTCTTTAAATCAAAACTATTATCCTTTGCTTTCTGTATTCTGAATGGAATGTCTCTGTGTGTCTCAGTGTGCAGCAATCTCTACAAAGCAATCAGAAATGCAGATTTGACCCAAGCCAGCAGGGTATGTCTGCTCTGGTCTCTGCAAAACTGCGCACAAGCTAGAATTATTCTGCCCAGTTTGAGGTGAAACTTGACTAAAACTTTTATTTACCCAAGGAATCCTGTTTTATCAGTGCGTCAGATTTCGTTAGTAATAAAACCAACCCCCAAACCCCTTAGGTATCTTAAAAAGAATGCATTGTTCTTCCTAAGAAACACCATTTTCTAAGTAGACTACCTAAAAATCTTACTGAGTGTTAAACAGCAGGTATTACATGAAAATAGTATTTAAAAACAAACTTTATTTTTTGTTAACAGGCTATTATGCTCGTGTCCATGGAGTCAGTTATCTGATTCAAGCTTTTCTAAAGAAGACAGAATGCAACTGTCAAATTGTTAATCTTGGTGCTGGCATGGATACCCTGTTCTGGAGATTAAAGGTAATGATAGCTGAGAGTAACGAACTGAGCTGAAGACAAAGATTTGCGTGGACATTTGAAGCACTCTTCTGTGAGGGCTTATTGGTGCTGCATTCTGTAGTACAAGGCGGAGGCAAACAGCAAGACTGACTGCCCTGGCTGGTTTGCCTCCATTCTCAGCTTGCTTACAATTAGTTTAGGTACCTTTAAACCTCAGTGCCCAGGAAGGGCTGCTGTTTTCACGGGCTTTTATCAAAAAGCGTGTGACACGAAGCTGACCTCTAGCGGGCTTTCAGGAACAGAGCTTGAACTCCACATTTTGCTGTCCGCTTTAAGCCTTAAGATTTCACTTTTTTTATCCTTTATTAAAATAGGAATAAGGCACTGAAGTACAGGATTGTACAGGTTCTATTTACGTGGTACTGAATTATTTACATAAATGTGAGTTTATATGTCTAAATATATATGTCTGCTTGTATGCATGTATGTCATTCACAATTATTCAGATACTAGATGATAGTACCATTCTGAGCAAACACATTCCTAAGTCATCTTGTCTTCTCATTAGCACTTATGTAATGTGTAAAATTGTAAATTTGGTTTCTGGAAGAAAGCCCAAGGAAGTCAGTCACATTTTGCTTGGTCACAATTCGTACAACTGTTTAGGTTGGAGAAGACACTTAATATCATAGAGTCCAACCCTTAACCTTGCACTGCCAAGTCCACTGCTGAGGTAATGAATTTCTTCTGAGATGTGAAGCTTTTTTCTTACCTGCATTCCTATGAAAACTGTGCCAATACACATTTTTATTAACTTTCCTGTAACACTGATTTTAAAAGCTGAAGTGGGGCCTGTAATTCCAATTGTTTCTCATCATAAAGAGCAGGTGTGGTACAATTAATGTGTAGATGATGTGACCCAGTTAACTGAGTAGTTCAGTGTTCTGACTACTGATTTAATCTACTATTCAGAAATTCATGAGGTTGACAAGCTAGAACTAGCAGTATATATCCATCACAAAAGGATTGCTGCATAGGGAGTAACTTGGTTCAGCTTATCTATCAGAGTGTCAAATAGTGACAACATGAAATGAAGAGGTTTTCCCCTTTTTTGTAGTAGAGGAATACTGATGCGCTTGTAGTCTGGCTGTCAGTTTGAGGACAAATTGTGGAATGTGGTCACTTTCTGTCTTAACCTCTGCAAAATGTTCCTGATTCTTTTTCTGGAAGAATATACTGAAGATGCACGGTAAAAGTCATAATAGTTTCCTGTTGCTGTGCACTTCTAGATCCTGATAATATATTGTTGGAATATATGTTTTGGTGATCTAGTGTCTAGGATTGCTGCATGGCATAAAATAGTAAGTCATTTCCTTAATGCTTAGAGGACATTCTAATATATTTCAGCTGGTTTTGTTTGTTTGGTTTATTTTTTAAGCTGTGGGACATTAAGTTGTACTACTGTTACAAATGCCAGTGTAAACTAAAACAAAACTGTTTAGGACTTAAGGTTATATCTTCTTGTCATGTGCATGTGAAACCTGAATGTCCCTAATTCTAGAGTCTTACTCCAATTCTCAGGATGAAAATCTTCTCCCTAGAAAATATTTTGAAGTGGATTTTCCAATGATAGTTGCAAGAAAAATACATAATATCAAGTAAGTATAACGCTTATGTTTAGATATATGAAACTGAATGTAATTCAGCAAAATGTCATGAATTGCAAGCTACAATTATTTCGTCTCTCTTCTGAGAAACTCTTCATGTGCTAGGATTTAGACTAGAGGTTTCGTTATGCAGGCAAGTCACGCATGTGACTGTGCAGCCAGTGTTCCAAATCGAAGAATTTGATATGTGGAAGCTTTAGGGAGGCAAGTAGGCTTTATTCTTAATTATGTAAAATATAACGGGCAGGGGAAGCCTCATGATGATTAGAAGTGACCGAGTTGTCCGTCTTCTCTTACTATTGAAGACAGTAATAAATTCCCAGGCTTGCATGTTCACTTACAGAGGTAGGATAGCTGGTACTATACATGAATGTTGTGTTTGAATGAATACTTAAGGCTTATGGAGGATACTTGAAGAGTGTGTCTGTGTCTTTCTTGAAAGATTACCTCAAAACCAAGTCATAGGGGATAAAACTCAACTTAGTAATAAGTCTAACTTGCAAAGGTTTTTATTTCCAGTAGAGGGCAGAGGTATTCTCTTGTCTGTTTTTAACACAGACATATATATATGTTAAAAAAAAGAAAATTGTAAGCACACTGTTAAACAAGCTTAACTACTCAGAGATGCTTCTTCCTTCTTCCCACAGATCAAAACCTCCCCTGTCAAAACCAATTATGGAATCCCATTCAGGGGACTCTCTTCTAATAGGTGAGTCATCTTAAAAATAAGTCAGCAATGTACTGCAGTACTTTTAAAACTTTTCTGATCATTTTGTTCTGCTATGTGGGCAGGCTTTTAATGTTTGAAATGCTGTTTGGACAGAGAATTGGGAGGAAAAAGAAGCTTTTTTCTTCTCTTACAGACTCCTGCCCATTTGTTCTGTGTCATGTTAGAAACGTCTTCTCTTGAAGTGGTTTTATTCTGCCAGAAAGTTGTTGGGTTTTTTTCTTTCTCTCGTATGTAGCTTAAGTTATGTTTTCTTTTCTGACACAGAAAAGGGAAAATGCTACTGATAGTCATGTATGCTGGATTAAAATAGCTATTGAGTGCTTTCCTCTGTCTTCTTACTGTCTCGTTAAGAGCACAAGTCTTTACATTTACCAGAGTCTTCACAGAAGAAATAAAGCCTGCAAAGTCCATTCTCAGGAGCCAGTGGCACTTGTTATATTTTAGTAATAAGAGGATATTAGATTTAGGTGGTGTCGTGTGGTTGTACTGTCTTGGCTTATAGTCTTGTTATGTTTGTGTCAGGACTAATTTGGAAACCTCTTTACTTGTGGGAAAAAAACCCTGGATCGAGTAATGTTTTCGGTGCTGGAATAGCAGATACTGCGCTATAGTATTTGCTTTGGACCCTTTAGGAGGAACTGTAATTATCTGCATCTATGATACTGACTAATTTGCGTTAGCAAATGTGATCCTATAACAGAGCTAGCAGTTTTGTGTTCTCTGGTGTGATTACATGTATAGGTGCTTTTAATAAGCACAAGTCTAGCTAAGGCTCTGGAGGGCTTGAAGGGGACCTCAGAAGAGGGAGGAAGAGTATGAAGAGTGAGGCCGTGTGCCCGTGCTGCTGCTGGCCAGGTGTAGGTGCTTCACCTCAAGGCTCTTTTAGTGCTTTGGCTTGCATCAGAGTACTGCCACACACTGACTTGATTGTCCATATTTATGTATATTATGCACATTTTGTTGCTGCATATTAGAGGAGGCTTAACTTACCAACCTTTCAGATGTCATCTGAATGGCAGAATTCTGCATTGTACATTCAGGTCTCAAAAGATGAAAGCCCAGTGCCCCATCTCAGAGGAGCTCCTAAGTACCCCTGTGTTCTAGCTAGGAGATCTTCTTATAACATATATCTTCCATACAATGACATATGCTGCATAGGCACTGTTAAGGCATTAATACAAGGTCAATCAGAAGGGTTTGATAGTATTTGTGTTACTGAACAGCTGTAGATACATATAGTATAACAAAATAACTGGCGTATTGTAATCAAAAGCTACTAATTAGCAAGTCACAGCACTCAACAGCATTTAATGTATCACTGTTTGAATGTATTTGGGGTGGCTTATTTCTCTAAAGCTGCTTCTCTTGTTCTTTCTAAGTGCTGCGTTTTAAGTACTTTAGAGTAGCCATTTTACTGTAACCCGGCTGGTGTAGGCTCTGCTACACTGAGCTCTTTGGCATGTAGCATAATGTCCAGATATTTGGAGATGGTGGAAGTCTGTTGTGGAATCCCAGTTTGAACAGGCACTGAATAACCACGTGAATAACCAGTTTGAGTGAAATCCAGGTGAGAACTCTGATTTAAGGACATATTAATAGCACTGCTTCACGTGGAATTGCTACCAGAAGAGGCTGTGGACTAAGTAGACAAATCAAAGTCAGATGAATTATCAGATTTATTAGAGATCTAAAGGAACTTGACAATGAATTCGCTCAGCTACTAACTGGTGTATACCCTCTCATTTTAAAACTGTCGTAGTACCTGAGAACTGGAAAGTGGCGGCTGTGACTCAAATGGGCTCCAGGAGAAATCCAGGGAACTACAAGCCAGTAGGACTGATGTCTCTACTGGACAAATTAGTAGAAACAGACAGACTTAGTGGAACACAGGAATAATATAATGTGTTGAGAAAGAGTCAGCATGGCTTTTGTAAAGGTAAGTTATGCCTCACAAACCTATCGGAGTTCTCTATAGGAGTCAACAAATATATTGGAAAAGGACATCCAATTAATGTAGTGTTTGAATTTAAAAAATGTATTTTGACAGTGTCCGTTACCAAAGTTTGCCAAAGGAATTGCACAGTTGTTGTGGGGGGAAGGAATATGGATATGGATAAAGAGCTGGGGGTGGAGGACAGGCGCGTGTTGTTAATTTTCATTATGGAGGGAGTTGGAGATCTGTGCTTAAGGATATATTGTTGTTCAACACTAAGAAATGATTGGAAAAAGAGTGACTAGTAAGTGGCAGCTTGTTGGCAAGTCCAGACTCTTCAGAGTGGTAAAGTGATGCACATGGGTAGAAAAAGTAGTTTGTGCCTCACATGTAAATGAGAGGCTTCTGGCTGATTATTGCTGCCTGCGTACAAGATCTGCATATTATAATATATAAATATATTAAAGCATTGGCTCAGTAATGGTCCAGAAATCCAAATCAAATTTAAGCATTCTTAGAAAAAATATGGAAAACGATGTCGATGCCAGTATTAGTAGTACGTATTTGCCCTCTCTTTGTCTTTTCCCTAGGTAGCTGCTGTTGGCATCTGAGAGAGGCAGGATACCACACTGGGGTTCCTTTGGTCTGACCTGATGCAGCTGTTAGACTAATGCAATGTTCTGGGAATACCACCTGTCATAGGGATTGTAGTGGGGCATAATGAAGCAGCATTTCCAGGTAGGGAAATGTTGCTCATTTTTGTGGTTTTCAAGGTGGGGATATGGAATTGGATTTTAGAATCTTGGAGCAGGAGGTTGTCCCGTCGTCTGTCCCCCCAATCAGTTCCACGCTGCTGTCTTATGTTACCAGGAATAATTTGTTTAGGTGTTTTGGAATTTGATTTTTCAGTTGTTGTAATATCCATTGACGTGATTCTTGTTCTCTTACTGCTTTTCTTCTCACACTAAACGTTGTCATTTCATGAAGCTAGTGCTAATAGACAACTTTATTGGCTTCGGGGCAACATCTGCTTTCTCCTTGCCCTTTAGACAAAGCAATGACAGCATGGCTTGTGATTCGAGTATAGATATTTGTGGCCTCTGCCCTTGAATGCAGCAAGATGACACTTGTCATTGAACAGCTTTGTCGTTTCCTAGGGAATGTTAGATCTCCAGGGGAAAGCAGTGAATTTGTGCAGTAATTTGACATTGCTGTGGCAATATCAGGTTAAATTGTTTTCAAAGTTCAGTGGCACTATCTGGTTTATGATGCAGTTGCTGGAGTTGGGAAGTTAGTACTCCACCTTTGCTACTTTGCAAGTGCAAATCATGCTTCAGTGAACTATTACCTTTCAGTGCCACTGATACGCTTTCTGGCCCTGTCTAGTCCAGCTTTGGGAGTTGGTTGTTTTAACTTCTTTTTCCCTACATTTCCAAACTTACTTGTGACCCAATGCAGACTTCGGGAGTGTTGCTCTCTTGGTGATTTGTGTGCCTTCCGTTGGGAATGATCCTGCGCTTGCAAGACAAACTAAATGTCTTTGTGTTTTGACACATACCCTGTTCTGATGTTGTAGTTAACAAACAACCTGAGCAAGACCAATACTATATCATGCCTTTGAGCAGGCGGAATAAGTTGTATGGGCTGGTTGTTTGTAAAGCTGCCAAAGCTGCCTTAGGATGAAAATCCTAATAAAATCCATTTGAGTCAATAGTATCCTGCGTGCTGTCTCTCAGAAAACCTCCAGGAAATTGTTCTATTAATCTGAGAAGAGAGTAAGAAAAGAAAATTCTGAATTCTTGTAGCAGAGGAAACACTGCGCTTTGTGCACCCGCGATTCTATAATGCTGCTTCAGCAGACGGATTAAGGTAGCGGGTGAGTGCCTGAGGGCCACCATAAACCGGAGCTGGTAGAATGTTTCTGTGAAGAAAAAATTTATTGCAGTGAGGTTGAAAGGCAAATATAATCAACTCCTGCTACCATTCAGTTACTGTCTAAATTCGAGGCACTTGGATTTTTTCTTCTATGCCAAAAGTCATGGAAAATACGCGTACAAGTGGTATGATCAGACCAAAATGTTTTGTTATCCATGCGCAATGCAACAGAGAAGCGTGCAGCTACGCTGAGAGAGTCTGCGTTGGGTAGGTGGGGTGGGCTGGAGTATGGGGGTCATCTTCTTTCTCTCCTTCCCTCACCCCTCCCTTCTGTTTCTCAAATGAAATCTGTGTCTGGTATTTCTCAAACCTTCATTTCAGACAAGTACAAGAGAGAAACTTTGTATGTAACTGAATGTGCTGTGTGTGAGCATCGCAAAGAAAACCAAAAGGTAGCTCCGTGCTGTAGAAAAGGACATCATGACTAAACAACTTCACTAAAAACCAACGTGAAATACTGGCCTCTGGATGGGAATTAGTTCTTGGAATATGGGATTTTCAATGGATGAAGCCATTAGGACAGCTGGCCTGAGTCACAACAAGGTGGCCCTATTTATTTGAAGGGTGAGAGTGGAGCTTATAAGCAAGACAGCAAGGATTTAATCATAGAAAGTAAACCCTTTCAGATTAAGTATTTTGGTTTCTGGGGGCAGTTTCTTCTCCAGCAGGCAGTGTGTTTGTGTCCAGTGGGATCATGCAACTGGGAAGCCTTTCCCAATCTTGAACCGCGTTTCTTTGTGCCTGGTTCTTGTGGCACTGACTTGCGTGTCGGTGCAGCGTGGGTGGTGTTCTCCAGCCCGCCCAGGAGGGGAGGGAAGGGAAGGGATGGCAGCAGCGCTCCTGGCAGATCTGATGGAGCGGGAGGTCACGGTGGGAGACACCTTCGGAAGAGTGAGATTACACTGAGGAAAAAAAAATAGGGTTTTTTAAAAACCAAAACAAGTTAATTCAGTGAAAAGAAACTTCTTGTTTCGTAAGAAGGAATCAGTGGAGACCATGTGGCTCTGCTACCAAACTGAAACTTGCTTTTTCTTTTTCAGCTGCTCTGTTGATAGGCAGGTATTCTAAAATACGTTTGCACCAACACTGTTCGGTCAGGGCGGCAGCATATTTGCAAATTTTCATACTGAGAGCATCAAACTCTGCAATAAAGTAGAAATTGATGCCAGACCATGAACTAGCAGCACATTATCCTCTGGGGTGTTTATGGCCGTACTTCAACTTTTACCTCCAGGATGGGAACAACGGCAATCCCGGCTGCCATCAGCTGCCATTGCCTTGCAGTAAGTGACTGTCTCTTATCTAAGTGTGGGGTGATGGTACAGTTGTCAGTCTGATATTAAAATCTTGAAGTTGTTTGCCTAGTTAAGTATGATCTCTTCATCCCTTTGACTTAGATATAAAATGATTTTTTAGTGCCGTGTAGAGGCCAAAGGTGGAAGCTAGCAGCAAATCTTACAAGAAAGTTTGGTAGAGGCTTAGCTTAAACTCTTTTCCTTTTTTTGTTTTTCCTTTTGCCTCTCTTGCGTTTTAAAATTGACTAGTGTAAATTTCATTTTTCCCTAAGATTTCCTTCAAAATGAAAGTATTGATCGTAAATGTCAAAATATATGAATTATGGAGATACTTAATGAGGTGCTTTCAGATATGTTTAAAATGTACAATTTATAGCAATTGTATCAGCTTGTGTATAATGTGTGTGCAGCTCTGCCTCGGTACTATCTGTGGTTGTGTTTGCCAACAACCATCAATGGAGAGTCGAGGGAAGTTGGCAGGAAAATGTGTGGAGGAGCAAGTACATTCTGTTTGAATGGACCAAAGAAAGAGAACCAGACAGCCCAGATACTGGAAATGGAAGTAAATTGATTGCATTTGGAGTAAAAGGCTTTTGAAGAGAGGAGACAATCCATTCCTCATCAGCTTTCTTGGCCTTTTAAAAGTTTCTGCTGCGAGGAGTCCTGTATTAAGGCATTAAGTATTCTTGGCTTTAAGGTTTAAAGAATATTTCCACTCAGCCAAATCACCCTTCAAGAAACCTCTTCTAATTTGGTGTTGGGGTTTTTTTCCAGTAGATAACTTGGACTGACGTGACTCTGGCTATATGGCTGTTGATTTTCACTTGTCGACAACCCCCATTTCCAAACCCAACCGTGCTGGGCCGCACTGAGGATCACCAGGTTGCTTCCTTCAGCCATCCCCTCTCCCACCATGTCAAGGCATAACAGAAATTCTGTGGGGTTTGTTCATGTGTATACAGGCTTATTACAACCCATGACAGTAGTTCTGATTGCTGAAACTTGAACCATTTTGAAGGACAGTTTTCTTACCTAAAGTTAGAGAGGTTTTACTCTTTCTTGCTCTTTGGTGGTAAAAATGCTTGAATCGACGTGATGCAAGCAAGAGACGTTTCCTTCCACCTCTGAAGTTTTTGTGCTGCTTCCGTTACTGGATCACTTAAAAGACTTTTGTAGTTTATTTCTGGTTATAATTAACATACCAGTATGTCCAAGTCAATGAAGCTGGACAAGAAGATTGCATTAATTTCATACTAATTGTAGTGACTGACGCTTACTGTGCTGTATCTCCGGACAGCAAACTGATGGCTATATAAATACTCCTCCTGTGTGTGGTGGGGTTTTTTTGTGTGGCTTTTCTTGATGCCATTATCGTGGCCTTGATATAATAACTTAAATAGAAGGGTGTGGGAAGTAGTAAAGCTATTACAGAACATGCACATGGAAAAAAGCCTTGACTCAAAATGTTGAATCATTTGCCGCACAACTTTTTTTTTTTTTTTCTTTCTTTTTTTTTCCCCCCTGTAACTCTCTGCATGAACTGTTCTGGTTTCTGTATCTGTTCCGAAATGTTGCTGGAAAGACAGCTATTGGCACTTGCTAGTGCCATTTTCAAACAGTTGGTCACTTGAAAACTGAATGGAGGTACATATTCCAGAATGTTTGAAGCACTGCTTAATTTAATAAATGGCCTTTCCTCCCCCCCGACCCCCCGAAGTGGAAAACCCCTTTCATCCTGTCTCTTCGGCGCTTGGCGTCTCTTTCTTCACCCAACTCTTAACATTTGCTCCCATTTTACCATTCAGGAGCTGTGTCTGTCTTCAGACGGATCCCAAA